TATATCATTTACAACAGTATTTATAATTAGTTATAAGCTGTGACATATCTTTATACTATTTACATTTGAATAATATACAATTTAAGATTTGCAAAATTATATTTATTATGGGTAAAATAAAGAATTTACATAAAAGGAAAAACATGGTTTTCATCTATCTCGAACTTGGACTTTTTTATGGATTGTTTTAGCCATAACCATTTAGCTGTTTCTTCTGATGTCTCAGTAATGGCTTGGATAACCTTCCGTGTTTTTTGTTTTTTTTCCACTATCCCAATGTCTCTTAAGGGCGCTGACTAGTGATTTTGCTACAAGACCCCTTGTGCCTACTTCAATTGGCTTGCAGCTTGCCTTCCATCTGTTGCTTCCTGTAATTCGTCGTATTTTAGTTTGTTCCGTTCATTCGCTGTTAATTCCCGCATAATGATTTTCTTTAGCTTATTTGAAAAGAGGACTAAGTCTGAACGCAATAGGGTCTTGGAAATGTGACCCGGGAAATTTAATCTTTTGCCTATATCCACTGTAAGTTCACAGTCTGTTTGCGCATGATAGACAATTGAGTGTAATCATTTTCTTTGGGTTCAGTTTCATGCCAGCTTTAATTAAATTTATAACATTCCTGTTTGAATTTAAGGTGTTTGTACGGATGGCTGTACTAACGACTTCTACTATGTCTTTTAATATCTGATCATGGCGCCATCTGTACCTACCATCAGCCAGAACTGATTTGCAGCTACTAAGTATGTGCTTTAATGAACTTATTTGACCACATAAGGGGCATACGCGGGATTCCGATTTAGCCCATAGCTGTAGGTTAACAGGGCTTGGGAGAAGGTCGTAAACTGATCGGATTAGAAAGTTCATGCCTATTTTGTTACGCCATAGTTCAGACCATCTAACTTTCCTATGAATCATTGTTTCTCATTTTGTCCACACTCCTTGTTGTTTTAACCCAATCATCTTTGCTACTCTCATTTCCTTTTCCCCTGCGCGAATTTCGTCCAGTAAGAGTCGGTGTTTTTTTTTTGTTTTTTTTTTTTTTGCCTACGGCTTTGTCAATTTTAGCTGTGGGGAAAAAAAAACAAGCCTTGCTCGACCAGTAGGCAACAATACCCAGTACTACTTTTTCACGAAGACGCTCTTCTGCCAATTTCAACTGCTTTACCGCGTTCCATTTCCTCCCAGTGTAGACTTCAATATTCAAGTTGAAGAATTTGTATTACTGTTCGTACTTTAGTGACTTTGAAGGGGAGTTGAAGAGTGTTAGAATTGTCGCAAAGGGCAGCTCTCCTGAGACACTTCGGTAAACCTAGCCATCTTTGTAAACGAGCGTTAATCTTTTTTTCTATCTGTTCTACAGAAGAAGTAGTGAACTCATAGATGGACAACGGCCACAATATATTGGGAAGAATAACATGCTGATAAATGCATGCCTTATATCAACCGGGTAAGCCAGACTTGTCTACTTTATCTAACCATACTTCTAGGATGTCCTTTGTTTCTTGGATTGCGACAGTGTCCTTCAGGATATTTTCAAAACGCTTACCCAATTTAAAACGATCCCTCTCTGATGTTTTTCCTTTTTTTCAACACCAGTGACCTTGATTTGGCAACGTTGAAACTCATCCCCGCCCATAAAATAAGTTTCTCCAAACCTTTTAGTAGCCACCTCACGCCAATCAGAGGCGAGGATGTTATGGTCATATCGTCCATGTATGCTCTTATTGGAGGTTGCCGTTGGCCAGATTTCTGCATTCTATTTCCACCGCTTTTATAAGCATATTCATAGCTAAGGAAAAGAGGGTAGCCGAGATGGTGCGTGGGTTATAATGCCTCTTTCCGATCTATGCCATGCAGATATTGTGTTTCCTGCTGCTGTTCTCATTCTGAAATTATTATAATAGTCCACTATGGTCTCTGTAATTTGGGCGGGAACATGATTGCGTTTTAAAGATTCTTCTACCAACTTATGTGGGATTGAGCCATAGGCGTTCTTAAGGTCCAGCTGCGGGAAAGTCATATCGCCCTTATGTGCTTTCATGTCTTTTAGCAGCTGCGTAATGACACCTGTGTGTTCCATGCACCCCGGTATGCCTGGGACACCTCCTTTTTGAACAGAGTTGTCGATGTATTTATTATTTAAGAGGAAATCTGTTAAGCGTCGATTTAAAATACTAAATATTTTCCCTTCGACGTTCATAGGGAGATGTACCTAAATTGATTTACTGTACTTACTCCTTCCTCTTTAGCGATCCATATGCCTTCTGAGCACTTCCATTGCGTAGCTATCTTCCCTCTTCTTCAGACAATTTTTAGTAACTTCCATAACATACGAAGCAGCATTGGGCAACGTTTATAAACTATGTAAGGGTCTCCGTTAAGTCCCGGGGCTGATCCCGATCTGGCTGTTTTTAATATTGTCTGAATTTCTTTCCATGATGGTTCTTTTAAGTCAAAAGGGTATAGAGGCAGGTTCGTGGTGATTAGAGATGAGTTTTCTCCCAACTGTATTTGTCTATTTGGGTCACTCAATGTCTCTTTAAGGAAGTCATTTATTTCGTCTGCTGCCTTCCACTACGTTTATCGCTTAATAATTTCTTAGTGAAGCCGTATGGATTAGAGACAAAAGCTAATGGTTTGCGCGCCCTTTCTTTCCTTCTCCTCCTATGCCATTCTGCTCTCCGTAAAGACTTCATTTTGGAACGGATGGAGTCACGGAGCTATTGCAACTCTTCCTTTTCTTCCGGTTTTGCTTTCTTCTGTTGCTTTCGGATAGCTTTTAATTCCACTCTGCATTGTTTGATTTTATTTTCCCTTCGATTTTCTACAGTTTTTCCTTTGTTTTCATTTCCTCATATCGGAAGCGCTCTGAAGCGTAGCTGACTATGATTTTCGACATAGTTCTTTAACGTGTATCCACCGAGCCCTTTGAAATTATCTTCAGTATTTCGCTGATGTCTAAGTCAAGCTTTTTTGTCGACGACCGAAGGCCATTTAATCTTTTCCCGAAATGTCTCAGATGTTAATTCGGGGGACACTTGTGCCTCTGCTTGGAAAAACTTGGCTCTGTGGTGAGCTTCCCGGCTTTGTATTTCCTGAATCTCACCAGGAGGATTTACTGTGAGCTGCATCTGGCTAGTTTCCATTTGACATTTCATTTTGACTTGAAGGATTTTTCAGGCCGCGTGTATTCTAGCATTTTCCCCCGCATGGGCATATCATAATCATTGTCCGTGGGTGTAAGGCTTGGTTCGTCTCCGGTTGGTCCGTTCTAATATTGATCTCATTCTCCACCCACCTCTCTGGATCCCTTGGGATTTATATATATATATATATATATATATATATATATATATATATATATATATATATATATATATATACAAAATGTTTTTCGATATTTTCGATACTATTTAAAAAAAATTAGGTTATTTTATATTTTAATTTTAAATTATGAATTTAAGATTTAAAATTTGACACTTTAGATTTTAATTATATTTTTTTACTCCTTAGTTATTATTAATAATATTAATATTTATTGCTTGTTTATCTTATATTCATATTATATTTGTTTCCTATTTTATTTTGTTGATAATTTTTAAAAACTTTTTAAAAAATAATATCAAACGTTAACTGCAAAATATATCAATTTATTCTTCCTCTTCTTCTACATTTTTCCTCACACCCCTGCTTGAAAGTTGATTATCGCTATTTTCCCTCTAGTTAAAGGTTACGTTGTTTTGCGATATTGTTGTAAGCTGGGGTTGTTTTTCTTATTGTCCATGTTATTTTGAGTGTAATTTGGTTTAAGTGTTTTTGAGTTTACATGTATACTTTGAGCGGGCTTTTATATGAAAAAGTAAAATAAAGATATAAGCAGAATGTACACATTGTTATTGTGTACAATTGTATTTGGGCTTCTAAAAGGCACAAAGTATCCTTAGCATGTTGTTTGTCCTGGTGTTAAATCATTTCAATCCATGCAAAGCGATAAAGCCACTCAGAGACAAGAGGAGAATGAAGAAATCTAAGAAAACGTTACTGAGGAGAAAAGACGGCAAAAAGAATAGGGTTTAAGGAGACAGAAAATGGCAGTTGCATTTAAATGTCTGAAGAGGAAAGAAAACAATTGAAAGAGTTCCACATGTGAGAAGTGTAAGAGGAGATAATATTACAATAGAACGTACGGTTACACTTAGCGATTTCAATAGTAAAATAGTGAGATATAGTTGACAATCTAATACTAGGCTTAAATCCATAAAGTCGAGGTACCAATGAGGAAAACTGACCAGAACATTTATATATAGATACGAGTGAACGGGATATACAGCAGTAACCACAGCAAAAAAAAAAAGACCATCTAGCCTTTGTCACTTTTATACAAGAAATAGTTTGATGTTTATCAACTGGTGTGATCAATTATTTCCAGATGTCTGATGAAAGAACAGTCCCTGAAGAGCTGCATTTCGATACTCCAGTTGCTGCTGAACATAATGACGATCAGTATATTCACATCTATGTCCTACACCATCAAAATGCAACTGCAACTCGGCTTCAAACAGGGTAGAGAGCAAAAGACTTCACCATTTTTGACTAATTAGTATGCTGTAGGAAAACGATAGTCGGCATTAAGTTAGGTGACGCAATGGTGAGTTGCACTTAAGATTTTTCGAAAGCATCTAGTTAATTGGGTGGCGTAATATTCTGGGATGGATTAACCAGTAAACGGAAAACCAACCTTTCATTACTGATAAGACCATTCCTGGCCAGGAACTTCAAACTGATAAAGTTTTTATCTATGGTGACAATTTTTATATGGGGGGGGGGAGATGTGGGAGAAATACAGCAACTACTGATTACAATTTTCTATTGGAAAAGGGTACATATAAGACTTGCTTCATAGATGAAATCATTATTAGTTTGAATAAGTTTCTTCTCGGAACATAACGTGTCACTTCATTTTTTTATTTGTTTATCTATCTATCTGGCTTACGGACATATATTGAAACACCGGTTCTCGTACAATCACCGAAACTAAGCAACATTGGGCATGGTCAGTCCCTAGATGGGTGACCGCTTGGGAATACCAAATGCCATAAGCTTGGGTGTGCTGTTGATGTAATGGATGTAAATGGCGCAGCGACGTAAATCCGAGGATGCCAGTCTACTGCGGTGGTTAGCTAATCCCCATTGCAGACGCCTGTTCAACTCCTACAGTGCCCACCTGTGATTTATACCGCAACCATGCTGAATGGACCTTAGTTACAGTTTCTGGGAAAGAGCACGTTATCTAGTAATATCAGCAGTCTGAACAAGGCAAACCCTCGGTCACAATGACTTATGACTTCGTGCTGGTAGAAAATTGATAATGTTGTAATGAATGCTTGGAATTGTCAACTGGAGAGTCGAGTTGGGTTCGTTATATTCACTTATGTGAAAATACCCTGGGAAAGGTATGAATCTACCTCTTCTCTCCCCAGCTATGGGTTAATTATTAAGACTTGTATTACTAAATCATTATTATCTCCAAAAAATTCTTACACTCTAAACAAATATTTTCTAGATTAAAAAAAACCTGCAAAAGTTTGATAAACCGTAGAAAATGTATGAATGAATGAATCGATCTATTTTAAAATCATTTTCACCCAGGCGAGAAGTGCGAGAAAAGAAACTGTTAGAACAGAAGTTACATCTACATATTTCAACAGTAAAAGGATGAGACCACATTATCAATCTAGTATTACGCTTACATTCATGCGGTCGTGTTTCCAAGAAGGAAAAGCTCATCAGAACAACTGCAATGAAAATATTTATAAATGAGGACAGAGAAGCTACGTTAGGACGGTGAGAAAGTGATTGAATTTGTGATGCTAGGTCAAGACGTAGAACATTACAGATTATTCTAAGGATTTTATCAAGAATCTCGAGGTATATAGCAGGAGAAGTCGATGTAGCAATATTCAATGGTAGACTTAAAATGTACATGATGGATTCTGGCGAGAAAATTTGCTTCTTACGGCACAAAAATCACTCTTCCTCAGCGGCAGACCCAGCAATTGATTCACTATAAACATTCCACTGCGTGTCAGTGTAAAACATGAGACCAAGAAGGATTAAGGACTTGCATCTCTAGAGGCTAGCATCAGCAATATTGATGGAATGCAAAAATGATCACTAAATGACATCAGTTTCGTTTTGGAGGCGTTAACACCAAATTGAAGGTCAGTTTTGGAGATCTGCTGTCTATTGAGCTTATTATTAGGACAAGGAGTACATAATTGTGTCATCCGCTTAAATACCGAGTTGGAAACTGATGACATTGCGAACGATTTTGATGAAGAGAAGAAACAAAAGTAAAACCCTGCATTAATGTGAAAGAATCTAGAAGAAGAGTGGCCATTTTTACACGATTTAAGAAAGATTGTATGAAATAAAAAATACGATTGGAGACACCATAACACTTGAGCCTGTGAAGAATCCCAGCATTCCAGAGACTGTTAAACGCCATCAAGGTATCTAAAGCCAAAGCCCAAACTTCGCCGTTTTTATCTAAAGCAACCGTTAATACATCGGTTGACCTAGAGAAGCAAAAGCCACATTGTTTGTCTGAAAAGAAGACCGATCGAGTAAAATGTTTGACCAATTTGGAGTTGATTAGACTTTCTATTACATTGTCAAAAACACGTAGAAGACGAGTAGGACGATGATTCGATGGATCAAAAGGTTCAGCAGCGTTCTTAAAATCAAGAACTACAGAAAAGGATTTATAACAAACGAGAAAGCAAGAATTAGCAAGTAGTTATATATGCAGCTAATGCTGTTATGAGATGTCATTGAGGAGCGGAGACTTTTCTAGACTGAAGTGAATGGTTAGGGTGGATAATAGAATCCAGCGGTCACGTGTCAGTGATCAAGTCGAGTCTTCAAGCTTTATCGGCTGTGGTTTAAGTTGGAGAGGGATGGGCCATGACAGGTCTATGTTGCCCAAGAAACGGTCCGCATGAATGAAAGCCTTTACGGCTTTTAAATATAATACGTGGCTTGAACTGGTTAGATGCTCAGCTGTACTGCGAGTCTTCGATAACAACTCGGTCGAATGGACTGATGATGATGACGACGATGATGATGCCGATGATGATGACGACGACGACGATGACGCCGATGATGGCGACGAGGAAACAGAAAATATAATATGAAAATTAACCCCGTAAATTAGAGAAAAAATATCCTCTGATTTATGACCTAAAAGTTCACTTAAATTTTAAGCGAATATATGGATAGGAGAACTTAATTCTCACTTACTGATCCATTTTCAGAAGTTAAAGAATTCTAAGAAAATATCGTCCTGGGCATGACGCTAAACTACATCCGGCAGAAAGGCCTCTGATTGGGAAGTTTTGAGAAGCGTTGAAGGTCCTTTTAATTGCTGTTGCTCCCAGGTCCATCCTGACTCGGGGTGGTAATACCTGTTAGGATCCCAGCAATTGTGAATCCCCAAACTGGGGTCGTCAAAACATTATTAAAGTATGAAAATAGATTTTTATAGTAAAAAGACCAGTAATTCGCTTTTGAGAAAGAAATATTACCAGCAACAGATTTGACACCCGAAAAAACCTCCTTACAAAAATACGTCAATAAAACTTGATCTACAAACTGATTTCTTACAAAGAATTTCTATTCATACGAATCTAACCTAAAAATCTTGTCGGCAACCCATTGAGGTTGATAAGCCGTAAAACTAAATAAGCTTAAAGCTATCTAAGAAAATAATCAGTTTAAGTAAGAATAACCTATAAAGGTGTCCGCCTATTGATATAAAATATTGTTATTTTCGGATATTTTTTTCCTTTCTGTTGTTTTGCATTTATTTGAAGAAAGCTGTCATCATGGCAATGATGACTGTTCTTTTCTTGTCTTCGTTTTTTGGCAAATGAATGAACAGTAAACCAACGTCCTTTGTTCGGCAAATCTCGAAGTGCTCTTCTTTCAGATGCTGCATTTTCAGGGAGATTTCTTACAGACAAGACATCCTTAACAACTTAAAGGGCAACTGGCATTTCTAGCCGATGAAACGCTTCATTATTATATTGCTTCTCAACATGAGACTTACCGATCAATATTCATTGGTCTGTAACAAAATATGTTGCGTACGATACGTGAATATAGAGTTGAGGCAATTTTTTGTATCGACCATAAATCGAATGTTAACGTTTTGTACGGAGGGTTTGATGCTAGCGAGTTTGATTTTAACGTTGGCCGTTAAAAGATCATTTCTTCATTTTTGAACTATTTTCTGCATGGAAAACTCGAGCGGGTTATCTTCCAAATAATTCTAAACCCGTAAATTTTGAACACTTTTATGTGATTTTGATGCAGTATAACTTTGTGCCATTCCATGAATTTACACACACACACACACACACACACACACACACACACACACACACATATATATATATATATATATATATACTAACAGTAGAGCCCGGCGTTGCCCGGGGATGTAACAGTAAGAGATAGATCAAGTATCGACCATCATAAAGACTGAAAAATAAAATTGACAAAGATTATTGTTTACGGTTGACGGACACGCATGTCTTAATTAGTTTTTTTTTCTACGAATTGGTCAAACCCAAATTCAAACAAAAACATTGTTTACAATCGTTATGAGTCTATCGATTGGTGAATAGAATTTTATTATAAACAATTGTCTTGTAAATGGAATTTTTAAAGCATTCTGAATGTAAATAAAGAAAAAAGTGTGCAAGACAATAAGAAATACTACCTGCCGAAAAAAAAGTGGATGTTTGTTTTATCGGCTGAAAAATGTAAGAAATCCGATCCCATATATAAAGGAACACACACACACATAAACAACCTGGGTTTTTAACCTAAGTCACTCCACGGAATCGCTAAAACATAGAGCATAGTCTGATGAAAAAAAGACGCCAAAGTTTATGAAAACAAAATTTTATCGTCAAAATGCTTATGTTTTTATGAAGAGGATAGATTAATTTTTTTTTTAATTATTTTTTAAAAAAATTTCCATCTTTTTAGAATATTCTAAATTTTGATTTAAAAAACCTTGTTTCTCTTTGTCGCAACAAGGGGTAGTAAATAACATAGATAATTTTTAGCGCGTTTTTTTGTATTTACACACATTAATTTGGAAAATCTTGCAAAAATAAAAATAATTGTCAGATGTTAATGAAACTTTCAGAAACTATTCACAGATGATCGAAATTATTATAAATATGTTTTTTTTTTATTAAAGTCATGGCAGAAATATATTTTTTATATTTATTAACACCCCCATAACTAATTTTATGAAAAACTTTTAGTGATTACAATAGTTAAAAAAAGTACAAGGCTTTGAAGAATGCAAATCATGTTTTTTTTGGGGTTTTTTTTTTTGGCCAACGTATCTGAAAATCAGCTGTGAATTGTAACATACAAAACTCAATAAAACAAATATATTATTTAGTTTCAAATGCTTTTATTTGTTTTAATTTGTTTTTATGAATATGGACAATATTTTCTGAAAACAAAAATTTTTTTCAATGAAAATTGAATTTTTAATACAATTATTTCTTATTTCTTTAATTTTAAAAAGATTTTTAAAAATGTTTAAATTGAATTTTAAAAATATTTTAACATTAGTTAAAAGCAACATCAACCTTTCAAAATGTCCGTGTGAGATTGTCATTGTCTAGCGCTTTGAAAATTGTATAATTTGGACCAATCAGATTAGCCATGGTAATTAAGAAATGTAATTTTTTGTGTTTATAGTCGGACAGTAATTATCAAGTACGGAAGACCAACCAGAATACAATTTAGTTGCATTATTTGAGTTCAGCATTGTTCTCCGCTGTTAAGCCCTTTACTTTTTATGAAACACGTATGGAGAAGTTAATTTTCAATTTCAACTGAGAAGGGTACCTACAAGTAACAGTATCATCTTATGAAATTTAACTACTGCTAAACTTTAATTTATATGATCTTATTTTTTATATTAATCTCAGTTATGACATTTTTCCATAAATGAAATATCAAAATTAATAATAAAATGAATGGAAATACAAATAACACAGTAAA